TCGCGGTTCACCGTATCAAATGCCTTGGTGAAATCAACAAAAAGCGAGTACAAAGGCTGGTGTCGTTCTCTGCACTTCTCTTGCAACTGACGAGCCGCAAACACCATATCTATAGTGCTGCGACCCGAACGGAATCCACACTGCGCTTCCGCCACGTTTGGTTCCACAATCTGACTCACGAGGCGATTGAGCAGGATTCGGGCAATCACCTTGCCCACACAACTCAGCAAGTTGATGCCACGATAATTCGTGCAACATTGCTTGCTACCTTTGCCCTTGTACAGTGGTAGCACAAGGGCATCCTTCAACTCAGAAGGCACTTCCTCCTCAATCCACACGCGTTGCACCAAGTGGTGCAGCGCAGTCAACAACGCCGGTCCACCGTGTTTCAATACTTCAGGTGGGATCCCGTCACCTCCGGCACATTTGCCGTTTCGCAGCTGAGCAAGTGCTCTCTGTGTCTCATCCAGTCTCGGCGTATCTGCCAGATCCGCCTTCACATCGTGCTGCTTCAGGCCATTCAGTGTAGGCCAGTCGATCTCTGAACGGTTGTTCAAGAGGTTGTCAAAGTGTTTCCTCCAGAGCTGCATTATGTCTGCAGTCTGGGTGCAGGTAGCGCCTGAACTACCATCGATCAGTGTCCTCAGCGGCTCCAATCTCGGTCCATACATCGCCTTCAAGGAGTCAAAGAATTCCTTGTGTTGACGGCGTTCGGCGTAGCATTCCATCTGCTTCGCCTTCTCCGTCCACCATGCATTTTTAATGCGACGGAGCTCTCGGGTCAGTCGCCGTCGAAGTTTGCGAAACTGACTACTCTTCCCCAAGTCACTGGGGTCTGCCACATGTGCAGCAAATGCTGCATTCTTCTCTGACACCAATGCGTCAATCGTCACATTGTTGTCATCAAACCAATCAGGCCGCTTACAGTTTGCGAGCCCGATGGTCTCCTCCGCATACATACATACATACATACATATATATATATATATATATATATATATATATATATATATATATATATATATATATATATATTCACAGTCTGTTAACAGACATTGTGCCACTAGAACCATGGCGGAAGAAAAAGAAGTGGAGAAGTTAGTAACATGAAATGAGATTAAAAAATAGAAAACGCTCTTTTGTTTTACACACATTATTTTGCCTTTTGGTTTTGAGCTTTTTTGTCTACTCAAGTGAGAATATAATGGCAGAACAAGATTGACACCACTGATGTCTGTTTCGAGCTATGACGTCCAATGTTTCCAACCAATGTGATTCGGCATCTCGTGGTCCCCAACCTGGAAGTCGGATTAGTCCGTCTGCCGCCAAACTTGCGGTTGCCTTCTTCATGCTCCTTCTCCAAGTCATTGGCTGTCAACCGCAGCACATTTTCCAGTCACTTCCTGGGAGCGCAAGTAGGGCTCAACGTTGCAAGCGATGAGCTGGCATGCGCAAAACGTGCCCGAACCAACGCAGGCGATGTCGGAGAATAACCTCCTGAAGACGGGCAATACTCGCTCCAAGCACTCGGTCGTGCACCTATGCGTTGCTTACGTAGTGTTGCCACCACACCCGAGCAATCCCTCGTAGACAGTGATTGTCGAAGACTGACAGCCGCTTCATGTCTTCCGAGCAAATAGACCAAGTCCCACAACCGTTCAAGAGTACTGCACGGACGGAATCATTGTACACATTGCACTTGAGCTTGAGACTGACATCACGACGAAACCATAGGTGTTTCAATTTAATGTAGCAAGGCAGGCCTTTGAAATCCGTTGCGAGAGTTAATCTCCAACTCCGCCCCCAGCCGTGATGCAACTCCCTCGATAAGTAAAGTAAGGGATTTGCTCCAGAAAATGTCCAGCAATGGTGAGCGCGGGTTCAGGCACCTGCCAGTCTTGGATCAGCATATCACCTTTGTTCGGAGTGAAGCATAAATCGTACTTAGATGCCTCCATCGCCAAGCGGTCCAAAGCGCTCTGGACGGTTTGTGTGTCGTCCCCAACCAAGCGATATCAACGGCACAGCCCAAGTCCGTGATTGTCTCCAGGAAGGAGCTCAACACCTCAGTTCTGGACACCTTCCAGTACACTTTGGACAACATCTACAATGGCGAAATCGAGGAGGAAAGGTAAAATAGGGCAACCTTGGCGAACAAGGCTAGTCAAAGCAAATGAAGAAGAGAGCGTGCCGTAAGCCCTGACTTTGCCCGACGTGTGACTGTCAAGTTCTTTCAGGATGGTTACAATCTTGTCGGGCACACCTTTCTTCAGTAAACAGTTCCACAACGCAGATCTATCTACTGGATCAAATGGCGCTCGGATGTCCAAAACACTACGATTGTTGGCCGCCGGTGGATGCGACGAAGTTCGAGAAGTTGGCGAAGCGTAATGATTTGGTCGATGCAGTCGCGGTCTGGACGAAATTCAGCTTGATGTTCTCTGGAAAATTGTTGTCTGGTCCTTGAAGGCCTGAGAAGTAGGACCGACATGAAGATTTTGGATGCGACAGAGATGAACGATATTCCGCGGTGGTTGCAGCAATCGTCGCGGGAACCCTTCTTGTGAATCGGAACAATGACTGGTTCTCCCCATGAGTTCGGAACCTTCTCCTCAGTCCAAACTTTCGTGACCAGCGATAGGATTTTGCTGACAAGTACACTCCCGTCATCTTTGAATACAGTCGGTGGTAGGCTGTTGGGACCCGGAGCGTTGTGGCGTTTCAAAGCTTGGATTACATTTCTGATCTCCGCTTTATTTGGAGTGGATGTGGAGACAAACCAAGCATCAACCGTTGAGGCTGGAGGTGTCTCAGGGGGCTGTGTTGGGTGGCTGAATTGAAGAGCGAAATGCTCTGCCCAGCGACCCAATCGCCCGTGAAGGTTGGTGAATGTCGTGCCGTCTGATTCACGACTCGTCTGGCTGATAGCGTGCAAATTGCAACTAGTGGCCCAGATGATGTAAAATAGAAGGCGGAAGTTGCTTGCTGATGCAGCGGCTTCCATCTCATCAGATTGTTTTGACCACCAAGTTTCACCATCACAGCGAAGGCTTGTTTTAAGCTGTTGCGCAATAGACTGGCAGTGTTGGTTGTAATGTGCGCCAGCAGGCACCGCCCGTCAGCGATCCAGAAATTCCGAGGATCTTCCTGAGATCCAGCTTTTAAGAGGGGAGCGAGCGACGCCACAGATGGACAAACCGGCCGACAACAAGGCTTGTTGCATACTTGACCAGTGTTGATCAACATCCAGGTTGTGTGAGAGAGAGCGAGATTTTCACAAATCCTTTGTTGATGCTCCTTCACCACTGAGTCCTCCAGCTTGTACGTGTTCAGGCGGGTGTGTTTTGACCTAGGCGAACCACCGAAACGCATGCAAACGATCGCACATACCAATTCATGACCGGTATCGACGCATGTTGACCAAAATGATCGGCAGTCACGTATGCTGCCGCGCCAACTGCGACTTATAGCTATGTGGTCAATCTGTGACCAGCGCTGGGTTGATGATGGGGGCGCCAAATGTCGTACTGGCGTCCAGGATGACGAAAGCTGGTGCTGGAGAGGAATAGCTGATGATCAGCACACAGACTGAGCAGCCTCTCTCCGTTGTCTGTGCGAACATCACCATATCCATGCAGTCCATATAAGTGGAGCTCACATGACAATGAACCATGATTTATAACGGGTAAAAAGCAGCAGCCGACCGACACTTGCCTTGAAGTCTCCTGCCAAAACAATGATGTCCGTTTTAGGAGCCCTTAGGAGCAGCTCATGAAGGTTCTGGTAGAACCGTTATCTGATTGTGTCCGAGCTACAGTCAGTGGGCGCGTAGACAGAGAGCAGGAAGAGAGCAAGCATTTCGACTCAACGTCTGCTAACTTTACGAGAGCTACAGAGCCTTACACAATGGCTTGTGTTTGATTTACGTGTTATGGTCGTATCACATGTCGGCAGTTACTTCACTAATTGCGATCTAAATCGTGTTAGGTTTCAGGACGACATCGAAATCCACTGCATGAAAAGTGGACAGTAACACGATACGCAACACATGCGATTAGTTTATTTCAGTGTCCGACGGTGTTGGAACAACCATCTCAGAGTGCTCGCTTCAGCATTATGACTAATCCGAGACCAAGTTGGTGTCGGATGGCGAAGCACAAAGTGACAGTAACAAGCGTAGAAAACGCAAACATTTACAGTAGAAATAATAAGAAGCAGAAAAGGGGATGAATGTTATCATTAGCTACACGAAAAATCATGAGCACAGATAGATCCAACAGGAATGAACCATAATGACACAAGCAAGAAAGAAAAAACTGGCCTAAACTAATCGCAGTCTACAAAAGTACACACAAGCGCAAAACCTCGCCTATCAGGTAAACTCGCAATAAAATTATAGTTCATACTGATGTCCTAAACTGGAGAGTCGCTAGACTATTCCAAGCTAAATATATCTCACAAGTAATCATCGCACGAGTGTACCTGTACCTGCGTTATCGTGTGCCCCAGTCTGCCTAACCCTAGGTAGACAATACGAAATTCGGAGTTCGTTCTTCGTGCGTCAATATTGAATCGTATTACATTTTTGCTAGGGTAATCACTTTTCGTCTACACGATACATTTAACCCCTCATTAGGCACTCGAGGTCATTAACAGAGAAAAGTACTGAGAATTAGCATGATTCAATGTGTACACAAAACGTGAAAACAATTTGACTTGGTGAGCGATGTTGCCTTATCCTCATTAGGTGTGGGATGCGACACAAGTAGGGCGACTGAGACTGCCTCAACGTTTGTTCGATTACTTGTATCGAGTTCATCGCTTCTTCCCTGATCATCTGTGATGTCAGTGGATTAGGTAAATGATTGAAACAGTTTGTGAGAAATTAAGTGAATTTGGAATATCCGAAGTAAGTGCCACCTGTCTGCTGTTTTGAGCAGTTGAAAATGGACAGTTGAGCATCAAAGCACCAGTAAATACATAAACAAATGTCAACGTACCGAAGTGGGACAAGGAGAGTATTAGAAGTGGCCCTCCTGTGTAGAGACGTATCTCATCGGCGTAGTTTCTCAGTAGATAAATTATTGTCTGTAGGCCCTTGCTCTCAGCAACCTGCTGTGCGCTGCGTTCTGTAATCGGCGTGCACATAAAATGGGATAGGATACTGCTCAGAATAATGGACTGCATTCTAAGACGTTGAAGAAAATATAATTGCTAATACGGCAGTGAAGTGGCTAATACGTTTAAGTCAATGTATATTGGACGCGAAAAAATATGGTGGGAGGATCTAGTTTTCAAATCCGCCCAACCGCAGCTATTACTTGATGCATTCACACCTTGACAGATGCAGTGGGATGTTCCTTAAAAGTCAGATCTGCTTCCATAACCTGTGAAAGCCTAAAATACTCTGGTCTATTAGAGTTACAATTTTTATCTACTCGTTAGAGGGATGGATTACATGATACAATCTCAATCTTGGCCGCTATTCCTTTGAAACGATCTTTGGTCAATTCCGTCACTAAGGTAGCATTTAAAACTTAGGAATGGTAGATGCATAGTTTTCGCCACTGAATATTGACTTCATTTTGTACTCCTATCTTGCAATACGGGAGGGGAGGTTAGTCTATGCATCGTCAACCCAATCAAGTATCGCATTGCTTTGTAGCGTAATTGTGTTTTCTAAATGAGACATAAAGCCTCCACTGATCACAAAGGAGAGATTTGCTCTGGTTCAAAATGTGTATACTTGAAAATAATTAGCCGGGCGAAAAAGAAATTGGCCTATCGGACCGTAACACAAAAGCATGAGATAAATACTTTCACTGGATAATAAAATCTATGGTAAACGCAAACGCAGAGAACAACCAAAAGCGAAGGAATAAGCGTGTGCATGCTTTACGCAGGACCTTGATGCATTACGATAGAAAAAGTGCGAAAGGAAAACAGAAGTGCACTAAGCGCACCCAAGTGTCCCACTAAATATTCTACCACAAAAGTATTTAGGTACAAAGGTCCACACTCGAAAACCTGGTATCAATTTCATGGTGGGACTACTACTTTAAGCTATATAGCAGGCATCTCCATTACAATAACCAAGCCATCCCTCCGACACGTATTGCACTTTTAGTAACAAGATCGCACATGCTACAACTTGCCAAGCTATTGCAGTAGAAACTAAGTATTAGTAAGGGCCTCGCCAGCGATATTATGCTCAGTATTAGGAACTATGGGTGTTTATGTGAGGCGCAGTTCAACTGGGTGGTCTGCTCATTTGGCATAACGAGACCACAAAGAATGGCTATTTATTCAAGTTTTCCAAAGCAGTTACCAAAATAGTTTTCGGGTTGTTCGATCAGCTAAATACAATAAAAATTCCGAGGTTGATAACAAGTTTAAGTCAGCCAGTTTTTCCATTGCTTGATTACTGGTTTGAAACAGTGAGTAGAGCTTTCTCTGTGTAGCTGCATCATTCGTCGCTCTTGGACATATACTCGTTATGTTGTGTTCCGCTCTGTATATTTTGCGTCTGCAAAGTATTTGTCAAGGAGCTTCTTAACTTCCGACACTGAGTTCGCCCCTACTATGTGCTGCGGCAGGTTGTTCCATACATTCACCACTCTGCGTTCGAAACATAGTTAGTGAACGACCTGCTTCAAATCCGGTACGACAAGTTTGTACCGGTGTCCTCGCCTGCAGCTTGGTGTGCGCAGCTGAAGCACTTGTCTCAACATGGGGTACTATCCGGTGCGTCATGATGAAGTCAACCCTCAGTCGGCGATAAGCTAGGGTGTACAGCCCTAGGTTCTTACATCGGTCTCCGTATGGCATACCTCGTAAGTTGGGAATCAGCCTGGTGGCTACATGCTGCACTCCCTCAAGCTTTTCTACCTCTACCCGGGTGGTGGGACAATACGCGGGAGAGCCGTGCTCTAGCACTGGTCGTATTATTGAGACGAAGAGGCGAGTGGCAATCTCTTCGGACCAAGTGCTGAAGCTGCGCCTGAGCGCCCAAAGCATCCAAAGGCTGTTTTGGTACAGCCTATTCGTGTTGTCAATAGACTTTAGGTCGCATCGTGAGAGTACACCGAGGTCGCGCACGAAATGCACGGGATGCAACGGTTGACCATCCACCGTGTAGGTTCGGCTGTGCGCACACGTATCCAGCCTCATGGATTGCGACTTGACCGGGTTGATCGGAAGGTTGGCCACCGTAGATCACGTTGAGAGGCGGTCGAGATCCTGCTGAAGTAAATCACAATCATTAGGTTTTCGGATTACTCTCCACACCTTAAAGTCATCTGCGAACAAGGCACAAGGTGATTGGAGTAGCTGAGGCACATCGTTTACATGGATCAGAAACAAAATCGGCCTCAGTACAGTGTCCTGGGGCAAGCCGGTGCTTGATGGATACCAGTCGGTTAGATGGTTGTCCAACTGAACCCTCCACTTACGATCAACAAGGAAATTTCTGATCCATTTGTGTAGCGAACCACCAACACCGCACATCCTCAGCCTGTCAAGGAGCACCGCATGGTTAACCTTGTCAAAAGCCTTACTGAAGTCAATGTAAATGACGTCGACTGATTTGCCTTGGTTCAGCGCTTGTAACCATTTGTGCCTCGTCAACAGTAGGTTGGTGATTTACGAGCGACCTTTCATAAAACCATGCTGTGGGGGGTCAACAAGTTTTTCGACTCGGGAAGTTGCAGAAGGCTCTTCTTCACGATCTGCTCGAGCGTCTTTGCCAAAACAGCGGTCAGGCAGATCGGCCGATAGTTATCCACATTGCTTGGGTTACAACCTTTCGGTATGGGAACGTTCACCACGTAAAACTTGTGGAAGCAGATCTTTATATGTTGGCCATATTGGTCCAGTCCATTGAGTTGTCAAGTTACGAAGCATTAACTGCATGTTACAAATACGGGACGCTGAGAGCTGAATAAGAGTGATTATTGCAAAATTACAAATTAAGCAATACGTTTGTCCGGGGAAGTGCCTCCTGAGAACCTGTTTCTACACAAGGCATTTCCTCCAAATGTTTCACCCCACACTTACGCCTCATATGGTTTTGCGCCGGGGTGAGATAATGGCAAGTAAGCCACCAGCGTATTAGCTCATTTTTAAGGTCGTTGTTATGTATAGAGAAAAATATGCTTTCATGATTATTTTGTTTTAAGCCATTCAGCCATACAACATCCGACTCTCGTGTTCGGCACTTTGGTTGCTCTCCAGTAGGTCTATGAGAGTTCGCCTCGCTTTGGTGTATTGATTGCTTGGGAACCTTCACTTCACCCCTTTAGAAGATCGGTCCAGTCGTGGTAAAAGTGGAAAAATGGCAATATAGAAATATAGTGCAATAAAATTGCCATAATTGAGTGCATCATGTTCAACCATTTATGCTTCCGTTTGCACATAGGGATTACAGAAAAATTAAAGATAGCTCTCTAAAGGATCATTTGATCGACCCAGCGAATCCAGGCAATCGAGTAGTAAGGTAGTTGATATCGAAAATCGACTTCGCGGAGCACTGAGAACTGCCACCGGTACTCGGCTTGTTTCCTCTGTGAAATAAGTGATAACGGTTACTAATGAGGAGTAAACTGTCAGGTTGGCACTTGTCAGGAATAGGCGCACGCTAAAAAGACATCAACCAAACGCAATGGGTATTCTTCAGTCAGCTTTCACACACGTTTATGCAGTATATCCATATTTCAACACCTTATTATATAGTTTCTATTCCGCAGTACAGTTTCAATGCAGCTTCGACGTGCAATCCACTGAGGTACCTACATAGAAATGTTGCGAATAAGTTTTTGAAATCACAGAGTAGCAAATCGGAAGGTAGCCTGTTCCAGGGATACGAAAACCTTACGAGTAAACTTTTCTGCTTATTGTCGTTTTAGTTCTACATGTAGGAGGTCATATCTTCCATACCGATTGAAGTGAGTGCAACCGTGCGGAGCACATTACGTGAAACAGAATCCTTAATGAGATATGAGGGGATCAAAATAAAGACCAAATAGGCGATCAGTGACATCGTCTTCACAAGAACGCGCATGGCATATGAGTGGGAACAAAAAAGTGACCACAGAACGCCGAGAGTACTTGATTACCCGGGACGCTTGGTGGTAAGGTTCTTCACACCTTCTCTTTCTGACCGCTGGGTAGGAATAGGGATTTACTCTACCTTATAATCACGGCACATGCACATCAGCAGATGGATTCATGTCACATCTCTCACTGCCAGTTGGGAGTGCATTTTATCGAACACTTGGCATGAGCCCTCTATTCGATAACCGGCTCCACAACTACGAGTAATTGGATGTTGTAGCAGGCATCAAACAGTGGAAAAAGGATCACACTCTCTGCTGTCTACAGCGGAATGAATAAGCGAACAGATGATACCACTGGTGCCCTCCACCTCACATGCTTGTCCGATGTTTTCTACAACTGATCCAGGTGGATGCCCCAACCCCATCCTAGCGATTGCTATGCGTAGTCGTAGGTTTCCGTTCAAGACACTTAAGATCGATTGTAAGAACGTGTGTGCCTGGCTGGACCGGAACACAATTATGTTCCCCACGCGATGCACCGCTCAGTCGCCACAGACCTCACGCTACGGAAATGATATGGCTGAACTCAGAGAGAATCGCCTGGTAGAACAAGACAAACAGCAAGCAAATGGGTTCAGAGAGGTTTGGAAAAATTCGGTTGGTATAGTAGTTTGGTAACATTTCGCTCTCGACACAAGGGCTCCGTCAGACCACGTGAATCAGTGTGCAATTGGTATGAGAGAACAGGGGCGATAACCGCGTTACCCGAGACTTGAGCCATGATGTCATTACAATAACAGTTCGTGATGTCACCTCAGGTGGTTTGATCACAGTAGGAATAGTCCAGGTGTTCCTTTGTGCGTCATGACGATGACGGATAAGCCTCTAGGGTTGACAATGGGAGTCGGTTTACACTTTCCAATCTGATCCACTCACCGATTCTCGCCAAACTGGCTGGCTTAAGACCGCCCGCCAGGCATTATGGGGTTCTACCCCCTACATTCTATTCACGCCGTCGTCAGATGTGGCAATTTCCAACGCCTCGGCAATCAACCGCTGAGGAGTTGATTGTATAC